TGCTCATGTGAGATAGCTGGCCAACAGTGAAGCAACTCTGCCTAGTTATCATCGAGCCAGCAGTGAGACCCCATATGCTCAGACTGGTGACCCTAACATCCACAATGCCCCCTTACCTCCAACCTCCCTCAAATCAAAGTACTCTCTTCTTTCCTCTTCCAGCTCACCAATCCCTCCTTTACAGGAAGCATTCCACCTTAGCCTAACCGAGCCCACACAGGTATCTTTTAACCCTTAGCCTACACTGTTTATACTGCCTGATTTTGGACTTCATTAAGCCTGTGCAATATACTATATTTAATACTCCATAAATATATGTGGCCCTACCAAGATTTAGACTTCTTCAGTAGCCCTAAGTTCCTTCCACAGTGCAAAGCAAGCAGTACACACTCATTATTTTGACTTGTAAATTGAATAACTGGTTAAGTCTGGGTCCTTGACTCAAATGTCCTAGTCTAGTTCTACCAAAAATCTACTGTGAAACTTCTATTTAATGCCTCTCTGGACATCAGCTTCCTCATATATAAAAATAGGTGGCCTGAACTAACCGAAATTTCTATCTCTTAACTTTTGAACAGGGAAGCCACTTTCATCCCCCCCAAGATCTGAGAAAAATTATGGGAACTGTAAAGCCTCCCCCAGCTCTCCCAGGCAGTTAATCACTCCTGGGTTTCCCATAGCTTTTTGTATGTATATACAATACCTCTATTACAGCATTTATCACAAAGTTTTGAGAGACTGTATGGCTTAGTGGCTAAGGTAGAGGCAGGGAGAAGAATCAGACTACCTGGGTTCAAACTCTGGCTTTCCTTACTATTTGTGTAACCTTGGGCAAGTTATTTAACTTCTCTATGATTTAATTTGCTCACCTATAAAGTGAGGATAATTATACCTATCACACGGGATGGTTTTAAGAATTAAATGAAATAAAATGTTCAGAATAGTGCCTACCAAATAGTAAGCACTAAAAAAAAGTTAGTTGCTATTATTATTGATGTTATTATATTAATCTGTCCAACCAGACATTAGGTTCCAGCTTTAAGTAGATCTCTGTTCCCCTCTCATTCTCTATGACAGCACCCTGTTTATGTTTTCTTCCATGCCACTTACCACAAGATAATATATTTATTTATGTTTATTTTCTGTCTCTCTAACAAGACTGTAACTTCTATGAGGGAAGGAACATGTCACATTTGTTCATCCTTATATCTCCATAGGAAACATAGTACCTGGCCCAGAGCAGGCACTCAAATACTTGTTGAATAAATAGCACATGAGCTGGCACTATTTGATATTTGCTGAATCAATTAACCTAGCTAAGAGTGATTGTCAGAGCTGAAGCTTGGGAGCAGATGATGTCCTGGCTACCTCAGGATTAATGTGTCCCTCTCCCCAGCCCCCAGTACTAGCTTCAGCAAAGCCCCACCCACCTGCTCTTGGCCCCAGCCCAGTTCCTGGAGCCACCCTTAGCTAAAATTAGCATAGCTACCAAGATGGCCAGGCCATTTATAGCCTTGGAGGCAGCAGCAACTAGATGCGGGGGTGGGGGCAGGCAGGGTTCTGGCCTGTCACTCCATCAGGGGTTGACTGAGAAGCCAACCTGTACTCTGCACACCACCTAGATGCCTATTCCCCAAGGCCCTGTTCTAGCTACACTGAACCAAACCACAGTTCCTGATTAGAGGCCTTCAATATCTTCAACACTGGCAGTGACAACTCCAGACTCCACCTGAGGTTCCTCACACACATTGTACAGAAAACATTTTGAGTTTCTGAAGGCAAGGCACCTAGCATCTGAGGGAAATTGCAAGCATCTGTTTCAGACCAGCTTCAGAAATGCAGTCCCCAGAGGAGCACAGCAAGGCACAGATCTTTACTAAGAAAGTAACTTAGCACAGCTGGGTGTACAGGTATTAAAGAGCCAGACAGGAATGGCCTTTCCACTGACCAATGAGAGAGCCTTATAGCAGAGCACCTGCCTTCACTGCAGGGTCAGGCTCTTAACAGTGTTTACTGTATACTTGGTAAAGCCTTAAGCATTGTAACTAAATCCTTCTTAGAATCAAATGTTTTAACTGACTAAAAAGACACAAATGGGTATATACATCCAAAAGAGAAAAAATCAAATTCTCTGGGCCCCTGCAGAAGACTCTCCAGAGTAGAAAAAGGCAGCCCTTTCTTGGCGCTCAACTACAGAGTCATCAGGCCCTGCCCAATTGCCAGAAGGAAAGCAATATTCTCTGGCCCTGCCTAGCACTCCTTTAACAGGGCAGGACCTGAGAAGAAGGAAGAAGTCCAGGACTTAAGCATCGGAAGACCTGACTATAAAATGGAGCACAGGACCCGGATTCTTCACCCATAAAAAACAAGTATAATACTACCTGCTCTGCATTCTAATAGGGCTATTGTGAGACTCTATTGGAAAAAATAGCTGTATAATTGTAAAATATAAACTGTAGAGAATACACCAATTGACTGGGTATGTTGAATCTGATTTAAGAGCAAGTAAAACTCCTCCTATGTTCTAGGGACACAGACAGGCTGGAAAGGCTGCAAGAGTTCCTAGTTACAGCCAGGAACTTTTGTAGAACCCAGTCTATGAGCTACTTCTTTGCAAAAATAAGTCCCTGTCTGAGTCAAAGTGTCAGACAGATCCAAGGGGACAACCTGCCAGAACAATAGTGCTGGGACTCCCAGGATCCCACACACCATAGCTATTCACAGCACCTACAGTCTCTTTCTCTCTCTCTCTTTGAGACTTTCTTCCCTGGAATTCCCTATTATTGTGACAACAGAAACCAATTTCTGAACTGAGAACAAGAAAAAACTATTAATAAAATAGAAGCTTAAGTGGTATAACCAGCAAAGCCAAGCCTCTGAAATGTGTTGTGTGGAGGGCTGTCTCCATAAGCTCAAGTCTCTCAGAGTGGGGGAGATGATTAAAAAACAAAGGCTCAAGTCACGGGGTGGTCCTGAGGGATGTTGAAATGCCTCTTTCCTTAGGTACAAAAAACTAAAAACAACTTCTTAAGCTAGCTAATGCCTAAAACTCAAAACTTCATCCCTTAAGCTTAAGTCTAAAATATAGAAGGCCTCCCCCAACCAAAAAATATTCATTTTATGTCAGGCACTCATATTTTGGAGTGAAAAAAGTACATATTATCAATTATAAACAAGAATGCCACCTGGACAGCAGAGATGCTCCTTAGGTCTACTTCGCAGTTCAGCCTACATCTACCCACTAGTCTTTCCCTCATAGCCCAATAAGAACCAAGCTTTGAGCTGAGTTTCAGGGGCCAAGGACACTCCCTATGGAGAGACTAGATTAATATGCAAGAAGGACTTCATTTCTTTTTTTTTTTTTTTTTAAGAGACAGGGTCTCCCTCTGTCACCTAGGCTGGAGTGTCTGGAGTGGTGCAATCATAGCTCACTGTAACCTCGAACTCTTGGGCTCAAGGGATCCTCTGCCTCAGCCTCCCAACTCAGCTAGGACTACAGGTCCTATGGAGAGACTAGATTAATATGCAAGAAGGACTCATTTCTTTTTTTTTTTTTTTTTAAGAGACAGGGTCTCCCTCTGTCACCTAGGCTGGAGTGTCTGGAGTGGTGCAATCATAGCTCACTGTAACCTCGAACTCTTGGGCTCAAGGGATCCTCTGCCTCAGCCTCCCAACTCAGCTAGGACTACAGGTCCATACCACCATGCTCAACTAATTTTTTTATTTTTTGTAGAGACTGGGTCTCACTATGTTGCCCAGGCTGGTCTCAAACTCCTGGCCTCAAGTCATCCTCCCAACTTGACCCCACAGAGCACTGGGATTACAGGTATGAGCCACCACACCCAGGAAGGATCTATCTTCAAATCAACAGCCCAGGTACCATGCTTATATACACAGGGCAACCCTGGACTCCTTTGGAAACCAGCCCCCTTGGAATATCTAGAACTTAAAAGGGAGTTGCTCAAAAAAGGGTGTGCCACCAAAGCCAACCTCTGGATCCATCCATGAAACTTCCCAGCCACCATGTCCTATATTTCCTTTTCCTACTTGAATCAGGTATCTACTAAGCCATCGCCTCATTTGAGCTTGCCCATCCTCAGAAACAACTCATTTATAAACTCTCCCCACTCTGCAGGCCACAGCTTTGGCAGATCACAGTGACAGGGTGAGAGAAATGGAAAAACAGAACTGATCTTCTAAGCCTTATGTAAAACAACTGGATTTTAAGTGTTCCTTTCTACTGCAAGAGTACACCAGGGCATAAGCGCATAAGAAGAGTCCACAAGTGCATAAGAAAAACCAGGATAGATCAAAAGTAACATGGAATCGCCACCCTCATCAGTCAGAAGAAACAGAGTAGGTCAACAAGTGGTCCCAGGAATTATATCAGGTCTATGTCAGGAAAAGGCCATTTAACATGCTGGTGATAAAGAGAATTCCATCTAAGGAACTGCTTTGATATTTCAAATGGGCACAGCCAAAATACAGCAGATTACCTAAGGGAAGGGAGGGACTAGGGTTCCCACGGGTGTTGGAATAGAAAGGCACACCTGAACACCAGGCTATCAGGCAACAGAGCTGGCCTAGCCCTGACTTTCCCCTTCCAACCCAAGCAGCCCCAACCTCCCCTGTGTTGCTAAGTGCTGAAACTGGCTAAGAGCAATGGACTTATCATCTGGCCAGGCCATTCTTCCAGACAAATAGTCCTGAGATGGGGTATTTCCTTACTCATCTGAAAGGTCAAGGTCCCCCAAAGGTGGCTTCTCACTGTGAACAAAAAACATCCTGAAGAGGGACAAGAAAAGTTGTTCAGGAGACACAAAGACATTAGCCACGACTCCTCAATAGAAAGAACTTCTTGGACTACTGGGAACAGGCAGTGCCATGTGTGGATCTTCCATCAACCTCACATGTACAAACCTAGATTTCAACTTGCCCACTTCCAGCCACTCGGTTGAGTCAAAGCCCCCAACCCAGTCCAGCCTGCAGGAAGGCCTTACCTGCTGCAGTGGACTCCTCAGAGTTGGCCCCGGAGCTGGCTCCTGTCGCCTTCTCACTGTGACTATGGCTGAGGCTCTGGCCCTGATGTAGGAGGAGCCCCCAGAGGAGCCACAGGGCAAGACGGGCGCACACATCCATGACTCTAGGTCTCAGTCAACATGCGCCTAATGTGGACACCTTGGGGTCCCAGAGGCAAAGCCAGGAGCCCAGGAATGCAGTGTATGGTCCCCAAGCAAGATGCCCTCGCGGCGCCGCAGCTGTCCAGCCACCCGTGGGCCTGCCTCCACCGACAGCCAAAGGTCAAGTGCTCCAAGTTTGGGCGCGGGAGGAGGGCCGGCGCCTCCGGTCCAATAGTGGGTCCACAGGGGCTGTGGCGGCCTGAGCTCCGGCTGCTTCCGGAGAGTTTGGGCAGGGTGGCTGCCCGGCCGCTGTCAGCTCTGCAGCCTGCTACACCCCTGCGGGAGGGGGCGAGCAGGATCTCCCGCGGGCACAGGGGTGGGGGAGGAAGAGAAGAGGAGAGAGGCGAGGAGGGGGGCACCTGACCTCGCCCTGCCGAGAAGCAGCGAGCAGCAGAAGCTCGGGGAGGGCGTGCGACCTGCAGGCCCCCGCGGGCTCGGGCGTCTCCGGGATCCTAGGCCTCCTAGGCCGAGGTCAGCGCCCCCGCCCAGTCCCGTGCCCAGGCGGCCGGTGGTGCCCAGGTCCAGCAGGCAGACGTGCACCGGCCAGGCCCGGGACAGCAGCTTCCCAGGCAGGGGGGCGGCGCGGGGCTGGCCCAGGGCGGGCGGGGGCGTGCTCTCCCGCGGGCCCGCCCCGCGCCGCCCGGCCCCCAGCGAAGCCCGGTCCCGCCCCAGTGCCCGGGTTTATCCCGGAATAACCAGTGGGAGACGGCTGTCCGGAACCCCGAGCCCCAGCGAGCTCTCCCGGACCCCGGACCCGCGCAGGTCTTCGCCAGGACCCCAGTCCCGTGCCAAGGACCAAGTTCCGGCCTCCCCTTCCCCCACGAGAGTCTCCCGCGCTAACCGCCCGCCGGCGGGCGGGCCCCTGACACGCAGTTGCTCAGGTAACTCAGGCCTGCGGCGGCAGCAGGAACAGCAGCTGCCCTGCCTAGATCTCCGGGCCGCGGTGTTGCTCTACTGGCCTCAACTCTAGAGCCGAGCTGGACAGACGGCCCAGACACAACAATAACCTCCCCGGAGCCGCCTGAGGCAACAGCACCTCTGCTCGGTTTGGCCAGGGGACGAGCTCCCAGCCCCCAACTCCCGGCGGCTTCCCAGGCTCCGCCCTCCAGCTGCTCCTTACAACCAATCGGCTTCCGCCTCTCTGCGGCTTAGGAACCCGCGCGCTTCGTCTCCCGTGCGCAGCGGCCCCTGGTGGGAAAATCTGGGTACTGCAGACAGGACTGCGCTCCTGGGAGGGCCTGCTCCTTTGCAGACGGTTGGGAGTGAAGCTAGGACCCGCCCCGGAGGAGGCTCATTAGGGCCTGCGAGCGTTTTCAGAGGAAATGATACCAGAGAGCAAAATGAAATGTCCAGACCACTCTAAGCAAAATTCCCCTACACATCCCTTGAGTCTGGGCTAACAGGCGTCATCTGACTTCCTGACACCCCCTCCCCCGCCCGTCCAAGCTAAGTGCGATGCCCTGCCTTAGCTCTCACAACCGGTTTTCCTACCTGCCCTGCAAGCCCTCTCCCCCTTGAGGTTTTTTACAGGGTCTGTGGCCGGTTCCTCCCTGCATCTCACTCTCCCAGCTCCCTGTGTCACTTGGAGAAGGTGTTGGCGACTTGAAAACAAGTGCCCCAATGAAGAGAGAGCCACGCCTGAGCCTCCTTCAACAAAGCCTGCACTTCCTGTTCTCTTCTCAAGCATGCTGTCAGCAAATCTTTACTGAAGCCTCCCCTGTGCCCTACCCTGTCCTTGGCACCAGAGACAGGGGAAGGGATTAGGTCCACTCCCTCCTCTGACAGTGTAAGCCAGCTACCTGTTCTGAGCAAGTCCTTTGAAGACCAGGAACACGGATTTGTCCAACAGCTGCCTGGCTTAGGGGTTAGGCTGTTGATATAAAAATACATGTCTAATGTCATCTACTACCGCTCTCCCCACTCTATTAAGCTCCCTTCACATTGGCCTTCTTTAGGTTCCTAAACACATCACACTCAGCCACCTCACAGCCTTTGTATCTGCTGTTGCTCCTGTCTGAACCACTTCCCAGCCCCCAGCTCCTCATAGAGCTGGCCTCTCATTCTTCCACATATAGTTCAATGTCTCCTCCTTAGAAACCCCTACTCTGTCTACCCCTTCAAAATCAGTCTGTGGCCAGAATTGGACCATACACATGTTAGTGTTGTGAGTGAGTAGTTAGTGGTTGTGAGTTTTCAGAGGTCAGAGGCTGTGCCTTAGTTGCCTCTGTGACACTAGGATCCACCCATAGACCCTGCACATAGTAAGTGCTCAGTATAAGCTGGTTGACATTAGTTAATTCATTTGATCACTCAAATATTTATTGTATTGAGTAACAACTACATGCTGGAAAATTGGGCCAGAATAGAAGTTGAGCCCCTGACCTAGGTTCTACTAGACCTATTCTCAGTACCAGGGGTCTTAAACTCAAATGACAAAGTGGGCAGGAAGGTAGTACAATTGAGAAAAGTAGGTGAGATAATAGAGAGTGGTGGGCCCTGTGGAGAGCAGGCAGAAAGGTAGGCCCAATATTGCCAGATTGTCATTAAGAGAAGATGGAGGCCGAGCGGGAGGATTGCTTGAGCTCAGGAGTGCAAGACTAGCCTGAGCAAGAGTGAGACTCCATCTCTACTTTTTTAAAAAAAGAAAAAAATTAAGAGAAGATGGCCAGGCGCGGTGGCTCACACCTGTAATCCTAGCACTCTGGGAGGCCGAGGCAGGCAGATAGTTCGAGCTCAGGAGTTCGAGACCAGCCTGAGCAAGAGCGAGACCCTGTCTCTACTAAAAAAAATAGAAAGAAATTATCTGCATAACTAAAAATATATAGAAAAAATTAGCCGGGCATGGTGGCTCATGCCTGTAGTCCCAGCTACTCGGGGATCGCTTGAGTCCAGGAGTTTGAGGTTGCTGTGAGCTAGGCTAATGCCACGGCACTCACTCTAGCCAGAGAAACAGAGTGAGACTCTGTCTCAAAAAAAAAAAAAATAAGAGAAGGTGGAAAACTAGACTTTCATATGACATATTCCTTTTTTAAAGATTAGCAATTAATTTTAAAAGTATAAAACTCTGTATAGGCCATATAAAACACATCTGCAGCCCAGATTAGTCACTCAGACTGCCAGTTTGTCATTTCTGCCTAAGCCAACTCTCCTGCCTCTACACTCATTTGGCTAAAAGAACACGCAAGAAAAACAGCAAAGTAAAGGATGCTTAACACAACTTCCTTCAAACTTAACCACATCATTTCTTTTAGCCACCATATGATTTCTTTGGGGGTATGGGTACTTATCTATTTGGTACAAAGAGCCTGGGTCTTGGAGGCAGGAAGCCATGTTCAAGACCTTGAACCTCTCAGAGCCTGTTGCATTTTCTGTGAAGCTAAAATGGTGTCTGGGAATTAAAAATAGAATTACCATATTGATCCACCAAGTACCGCATATATACCCAAAAAATGAAAACAGGATCTCTAAGGAATATTTGTATACCCATGTTTATAGCAACATTATTCACAATACTCAAAAGGTAGAAGCAACCCAAGTGTTCATAAATGAATGTATAAACAAAATATGGTATATGCATACAATGAAATATTATACCGCCTTTAAAAAGAAAGAAATTCTGACACATGCTATCCACATGGATAAACTTTGAGGACAAGATGCTAAGTGAAATAAGCCAATCACAAAAGGACAAATGTGGTGATTTTATTTATTTGAGGTACCTAGAATAGTCAAATTCATAGAGACAGAAAATAGAGTGGTGTTTGCCAGAGTCTGGGGAGAAGGGAGGATAAGGAGTTGTTTAATGGGTATAGCTTCAGTTTTGCATGGTGAAAAGAGTTCTGGAGATTGGTTGCACAACAATGGGAATGTCCTTAACATGATTAAACTATATGCCTAAAAATGATTAAGATGGTAAATGGTAAAATTTATGTTACATATATTTTACTACAATTAAAAATAAATGGTGGCCAGGCGCAGTGGCTCACACCTGTAATCCTAGCACTCTGGGAGGCCAAGGCAGGCGGATTGTTTGAGCTCAGGAGTTCAAGACGAGCCTGAGCAAGAGCGAGACCCTGTCTCTACTAAAAATAGAAAGAAATTAATTGGACAACTAAAAATATATAGAAAAAATTAGCCGGGCATGGTGGCGCATGCCTGTAGTCCCAGCTACTCGGGAGGCTGCAAGGAGGATTGCTTGAGCCCAGGAGTTTGAGGTTGTTGTGAGCTAGGCTGACACCACCGCACTCTAGCCCAGGCAACACAGTGAGACTCTGTCTCAAAAAAAAATAAAAAAATAAAAAATAAATGGTGTCTGGGAGCCAAAGCCAAGATCTGGGCAATAGGAGGAACATTCTGGTCTCCTGTCTGCCTCCAAGATCATGATGTGACATTGGAAAAGTCAGTTCCCCTCTGGATCTCAGTCTCTCCAGCTATAGAATGGGCAGCTACTAGATTATTGATCCAGTTAGCTTTAATATTCTGCAAAACAGGAAAATCCTGAAACCTTATAAACCTTTCTGCATCAGAAACTATGACCCGGGCCAGGCATGATGGCTCATGCCCATAATCCCAGCACTTTGAGAGGCTAAGGCAGGAGAATCACTTGGGGCCAGGAGTTTGAGACCAGCCTGAGCAACATAGGGAGACCCTGTCTCTATAAAAAAAAAAAAAAAATGTTTAATTAGCCGGGTGAGTTGGCCACATGCCTGTAGTCCTATAGTCCTAGCTACTCAAGAGGCTGAGGCAGGAGGATCACTTGAGCCCAGAAGTTTAAGATTATAGTGAGCTATTTTGAGTATGCCCATTGCATACTCCAGCCTCAGCAACAAAGCAAGACCCTGTCTCAAAAAAAAGAAAAAATGCTGTGACCCTCACCTTAGTAGTCCCTCTGGTGTGTCCTTGTGTGAGTATGGCCTCTGCAAGAACCCCTCACCACATTGTAAGCCTCGGAAGGAAAGAGAGGGCTTTTTCTTTTCCTCATCTCTGTCTTTTTTATACCTATACACCAAGCCTTTACCATGTGCCAGGTGTATCTCCCTTGCAATGCTCATAAGTCCTTGCTTAGAAATTCTGAAGATGTAGGTCAAATCAAATTGGATTAACTAATTCTTATGCCTCCATTCCACTATTTGCAAGAGCTTTCACATCTATGATCTCATCTCTTCCTCACAGCAGCTCTGCCAGATAAGACAGAGACTATACAGTATTCCCCCCTTGTCTGTGGTTTCACTTTCCACTGTTTGAGTTATTCAAGGTCAACTACGATCTGAAAACAAGTGAGTATAGTACAATAAGATATTTTAAGAGAGAGAGAGAGAGACACCACATTTACATAACTTTTATTACAGTATTATATTATTATAATTGTTTCATTTTATTATTGTAGCTGTTAATCTCTTACTGTGTCTAATTCATAAATTAAATTTTATCATAGGTACATGTATATATTGGAAAAAAACAGTATATACAGGATTCGGTACTATCTGCGGTTTCAAGTATCCACTGGGGATCTTGGAACATATCCCCCAAGGTTAAGAGGAAACTACTGTATTCATTTTATA